CTGGGCAGTAGTCTACACAGGAGATTACTATGATATGATATGATATGATATGATATGATATTTTATTTATTTATTTATTTATTTATTTATTTGGTAGACTTATCCCCACCCATCTCCCTGCAATGGGGGACTCTGGACCCCCCCCCCCTCCAATACTCTGAGTTTGAGTAACTTTATCATCATTCCAGACATGGCTTCAAGGAACTTGGGTAGGGAGGCCACTATGCAGCAAGGAAGTTAGTAGAGTAACAGCAATGCCATTTGATCCCTACAGCCTAATCTCACTAGTCTCACAACCAGCTATTTGTGGGGAGTCTTTCCAATATGCCTATAGAAAACACACAAGTTGGGCATGAGGACAACAGACTCAACACTTTTTATTTGATCACCACCTAGGTCAGTGTTTCTTAACCTTGGCAACTTTAAGATGCATGGAATTCAACTCCCAGAATTCCCCAGCCAGCATGGAATTCTGGGAGTTGAAGTCCATGCATCTTTAAGTTGCCAAGGTTGCCAAGTTGCCAAGGTTGGGAAACAGTGACTTAGAGAATACCTGGTTGAAGAAAGCTGCGAAACAGGGACAACTAATACTGAATGTGCAATAGCAAAATGCACTGACTTGTTGTATAGATGTCTTTCAACAGATAATTGTAACTGTTGTAACAATTATCTTGCTTAGCTTTATTTTATATTTTATTATTGCATGATTACTTTTGATCATATTCATTGTACACTATTATGATATTCAAAAGAATAAGGCTTTTTTTTTTTTAAAGTAAGCTCTAGTTTCCAGGAAAAAAAAAAATAGAATCATAGATTTGGAAAGAGCCATTAAGTGATCAACTCTGACCCTCTGCTCAAACAGTCCAAGTTAAAATAAATGAACAAGATAATGTCCAACCTCTTTTGATTTTTTTTCTTTTGCAGCAAAAACTCTTTATTGGGGAGGAACAGAGGAAATAGTGACCAGTTCTCCCTTTTTAAAGTAAATGTCATCCTTCTTGTATGAACAAAAGAAGAGTTATTTTTTTATGGGACTTCTGCAATAAATGATAAATACACATGATAATGTCAGCAATAGACATTCCCAGAAGACTAAGAAAAAATTCTTACCTGTTTAAAGTTTACATTTAAGCCCTCATGTGTTGCTTTTAAAAGAGCCCTCACAGTGAAGCTATCAGGATCTTCTTTGTCTCTGATTTGAGACTCTTTTAATATGGATTCAAGTTTTTTTCTTATAAAAGACTCCATTTGATGCTGTGTTGTGCCATTACTCTGAAAGAGATCAATAAGCAGCAATAAAAATTGTTAACTGTTTGTTTTTTTAAGGCAAATAAAGTTGGGAGATGTTTCCACCCATCTAAATAGATTCTTTCTTAGGTATTCCATTGCCTTACTTTTGAAGTAAAAGTAAGTTACAGCCAGAAAATAATTTCTTTAAGATTTTTCATTCCATAAAGAGAATATCTGAGATAGCAACTTATGATATAACGGACAGAAAAACTTCTTGACCATTCCTTTATTTCCTTTGGGTATAATCTAAGACAATGAAATATGCTGCAGCGTATTAGAACGGGATTTTTAGGAGTGCCAAGTAAAAACAAATGTCTCTT